AGCTTGCTCTTTTCCGATCTCTTTTCTCTACTGCCGCAATCGTGTTCTTGACGTTGACTGCTATCGCCATTTTTTAAAGCGCCGTCCTGGTGGTCTAGTACCCGTTAGTTTTAAATCCCTTGATATTCTGCTCCATCCTACGATCTCCTGTCTCCCACATAAGTCTTTTAATTGCATATTTGGGACTCTGTCTCTCGATGTTTTGCGAGTTATTGATCTTAATGTTTTTACTTCTGTTGTTCTGAGTACTCATTTTGTATCTGTTGTTTTAGCTCTCGTTTCTATGGAGTTGGCCTTACATTATTGGCCTTACACGTGACTTATACCTATGCATATTTTTCCATTGAGCCTCATTTCTTTATTCCCCCAGATAAAATCTCCGTAGCTGCATATTTGTACTCCCAGATATTCGAACTTAGAAACTGGTTTCATTATTTCTGCGTTAATTACGATTTTGCATTATCTGACTTCCCTTGCTACTACGGTCTTAGATGTTGATATATGCATATTGTAGGTTTCTGTCGTTGTTTTAAAGGTATGCGCTCATGGTGGGAAAAAAGTAACTAATCGGTATTCGAGTACTCGTTACTCATCAGTATCCGAAGTAACGAATAGCGAACCAAGCTACCAAACGAGTATTCAAGCAATCAGTAAGCGTTCTCGGAAAATCAAGTCACCCATCCTAACTTTCGACTCCAAAACCCAATACCCTACTACTCGTACTCGCTCAGACTAACTGGTAATCAATACCAGTACCGAATCCCTATACTTATGAATACCGAGTACTCGTTTAGAGTAACTAAACTAACTGGTGATCAATACCAGTCCCGAACTCCTGTACCGATGGATACCGAGTACTCGTTCAGACTAACTAAACTAACTGGTCATCAACAGGGTGACCAGGTGTGGTGATTTATTGCCAAATTGGTGATTTTTTGCTTATGTTGGCGACAATTTTTTTTTCATTAATATATTTTAAACACACATGTAAACATATATAATTTCAATTCAACTTGTTAGAAAAACTAAAGTTATTGCTTAATTTAAACCGTTCCGCTTTGCTTTTATTGGTTTGCCCCGTTTGAATTTCTTTGGCACCAAAACCGGCTATTCTTAAGTCTACATTTGGCGATTTTTGGCGACATTGCGATATCTGAGTCTGGTCACCCTGGTCATCAATACCAGTTATCAGTACCCGGACACGCACCGATACGGATGGATACCGAAAGCCGCGTTTGATTTTCAACGGAGGTCGATTCTAATCACTAAAAACAGCGTTGTACGTTGCCGCATGCTAAACTTCAATTAGATTTTTTCATTTATAATATAAAATGTAGGGTGTTAATTGTAACTTATTTTAAAACTGCATATATTTAAAAAGACGTTTATTAAAATTGATAATTGTCGCACTGTATTATTACTGTACAAAAATTTATTTATGGATTTGTAGGAATTATTAGATTTAAGTAAAACGCTTTGAAAACCCAGTAGTCAAAAACAATTAATTAATTGATTTAAAATAGGGGATTTGAATGGCCCATACCCTACATGTTGAATTGTATGTCAGTTTCTTAAAATTGTATGTCAAACAAAATTTCTGAATACCTTCGGGTAGTTTGTAATATTACTGGGAGATAATAAAAAAAAATGGATGTGTGGCATCTTGCTTCACAGAGTTAAATAACTTGCTTTCAAAAAGTGTTTCAAAAAGACAATTTATTTAGAAACTGCAAGTATTAACAACCGTGGGGGTTCAAAATGTCTGCGGACAATATATACAATAACAATAGAGAGTACAATAGGAAATCAATTAACAACTGACTTAAAAATGGTCTGATTATTTACTCTTAGACGTAAATATACCTATCTATTACGGGAATTATAAATTTAAGGGTTAGATATAGTTTGTATGACCAAAGTGTCCGTGTAGCAAATCTGAAGGAAATAATAAAATACCAATATCGGTCTGCGACTTTCGTAAGACTTACGACTAGAATGAGTACTCGAATAACTAATGCGAAGTAACGAGTATTGAATCCAAAAGTAACTAGTCGGTACGAGTATTCAAAAGTAATCAAATCTCACACCACTAGTATGCACCAAGCATTGTGGGTCATCTTCAATATTCGAGGTCACAGTTGCGTCGTTCGCATAACAAAGAATGTTTAGATACTTTTTTCTAAGGTCATATCGGCGTCCTACTTTTTTTTATCTGCCATATGATTGTGTCCATTCATAAATTGAATTATAGTAGACTTAGGCTATCTCCGTGACGTATTCCAGATTGAATGTCTACTTTGATATCAATTCATTCTCTACTTTTAATTTTTGTTTTGTTACTTATGTTCATATCTCTTTTTATCTCTACTAAACTGCTGGACTAATTTTCTTCTTTAAGTTATTTTAGCTCCTAATCTCTCGCGAGCACAGGCATTACTCAGGGACACGAATCACTTGTAAGCAGGATTGTCAGACAATTGCTTTCTCAGCAATTTATCTGACTATGAAAATTGCATCTATTGTAGACCTAATTTGCCGTAAGTCTTGTCGCGCTTATTGTATATCTTGTAATGATCTTATTGGCGACTAGCTTCGTTAGCAATTTTAATGTTGTGTTAAGCAAGGTGATCGAATTTTTCGGTAGTTGCTAGGATGCTTCTTATTTCGTTTTTTGTATATTGGTATTGTAATGTTTGTTTTCAATTGATTTGGTACTCGCTTGATACTTAAAATTTACTGAAAATGTTCAGTAATATTTTCAGTTATTATGAGTTGGGTATGCCATCAGGTCCTGGAGCTGTTCTCCTTTTTTAATTTTCCTGTGGTATTCCTGAGTTCTTCGCTTGTAATTCCAATGATTTGTTCGTTGTCGCCCTCTTCTTCTTCCTCTCCTTCTTGCCCGTCTATTGCATTTCATTATTCCTCTTATTATAGAGTTCTTTGATATAAGCTGTTCATTGTTCTGCTTCCATTTTATTGAAGTTATTATGTTCATTATAAGTAGTGAATGATGAACATACTTGAATGATGGTTCACATATTGAAAGTTATTTAAGTTATACTAAGTATTTATAATTGTGAATTCGATATATAATAGTGTATTACATAATAAGAGTTGTAAGGAGCACTTTATGTACGAATGGAAAACGACGAACGCGTAATTCCATGAGTACGTAAATGTGATACAACTCGAATTATGTAACACACTTTACCCACGAGCGTAATAACTTACTAAAACCATCAGAATCACTTTTCAGTAAGTATTTTTGGATACAGGATTCAATGTTTATATTGTGATGAATTTTGACAGAACTGTGCCTTTTGTTTACCGTGCGTTTGGTTTACCGTGAGTTAACTCAAGGTCTTGTACCTCCTCTACTAACTAGGACAGATACTGAGTCCGCAGTTCTTCACATTAAAACCATGCGCGAGAACATTGTAAGATGATTATCATATATTCTGACCAATTTTAATTGTAGTTTTTAAAAACGGTTTTGCCATATTTAACGAGTTAACTGGCGCGTTAATAGGTCGCGAGTTCAATCATCAAAAGACTTGTTCGAGAGCATGTCGACGAGTTTCAGGAATACTGGACACGGATCGCAACATCATCTTCGGAAAGCGTCACAGCATCGGGCACTTTTGCAAGGATCACAAACTTCGGTTTGGACCAGATCGCCATCCGAAAGTGCTGCAGATTTGTTTTTTGATTTGAGATTTGACTAAACATACCACAATTTGTAAATCGAGTTTCATCAGTCCATAATATTTTATAAGGGAATTGGATGTCGTGTTGACATTTGCTTCAGAACCATGTACAAAAATTCACTCGCACCTCATCATCCCCTGGATGTAAAGTTTGGGATACTGATAATTTAAGACGGATGGAATTTTTGGTTCTCTAAAACTCTCATCGCTGTGCTTTGGGAAGTCTCGGATTCCACTGCAATCTCTCTGAGTGAAATTTGTAGATTCTGGCTTGCAATGGCCAAGACATTAACCTCCACAGCTTTATTTATGATGTTATCTTTATTTCTTGGCTATGTAGAACTTCCAGTACCTACCGAAATTATCGTATACTATTTTGAATGTTTCCAAGGACAGCTGACGACGGTCAAAATACTTCTCAAAATAGTAATCGGAGGCTCGTCCAGCATTTTCGTCTCATCTAATGTAGGTTTCAATCATGTGGCACATTTGGAGTAATCAATTTTTACAATAAAACTAACTTGACTTTAAACTTGAATGTCAACTAATTGAAAGATGTGATTGATATTACTTGTTTCTATGGAAACACTGCAGTCTGCCTTATACTATTTTCTATGGCTAACTTCGATGAACTAAATTGAGAAACTAAAAATTGTTCGCAGACACTTCGTTTTCGAAAAAAACTAATAATCACTCACTGAAATCGCAATAAAACCCTCTATTCAATAAAGGCATAATGAAATATAATTGCCATTTAAAAAAAGTAAAGTTTGTGTTATATGTCAAAAATGACAATTTATTTGTAAAAATGTCTCATCCCATTTTCTTTGGAATGCAATTTCAACTTTTGTCACGGAATTGTGAATCATTTAAAAATCTGCAATAAATCACTTTTTTTCACATGTCTCTGATAACTGTCAAATTTTAGAAAAATAAAATTGGTTTCGAGTAGAGCATACAAAACTACAATTATTTGTCTATTTAACAACCCTCGTTGCATCTGCTGTTGTTTCCAAGATCCCTGTACTGTCGAAAAAAACTCACCCTGTATAAATAATGCATAAAGCCGTGGTATATTTTCGTTTAAGCTATTAGAATGTCCAAATATAAATGTTCACGAGCTGGTTGAGAGATGTTCGCAACTCGATTCAGCGTCAAAGCCTTTGTTAATACGTTCAATTAGAACTTTGGACGTGCTTTAGCACGTAGTAGCGCTCGGCAATTATAAAATTATTAAAAGCCCTGTGAGCTTTCAGTAAAAAGTTGATGCATGAAAATAATTTGCGTACTCACCGAGATTATTAATTTCGCAAGGTAGAACCACTGTGTCCCCGGTTACTACTCTGAAAGTTTTTTCTCTGGATACGAACATAGGAGGTGGATCGTTGGTAAAGATCGAACCTAGAAAAAGAGTAATAAAATTAATAGTTTTTTGCAAAAATATAAATCAGTTTATAAATTTTATGTAGTTGCGGAACCACAGAATACATTGTGTCACGATTATAGACTGTCATCATCGATATACAGGGTGTCCCACCGGAAACCGCCGCGATCGATATCTGGCAAACTATAATCAGGACAAATTTGAAAATTGTCATTGGGGGCAAGCGGTCTAAAATATTTTCATGATGGCCACATGTTCGGTTATACCGGAAGTAGATATCAACTTCCTTATTTTAAATGGAACACCCTATATGTTATTTTATATACATTTTTATATTCTGCTCCTAATAATAAATATATTTTATTGATAATATCATATACCTAAGTCTAACCGTTTTTAATGTATTTGAAATTTTACTTAAAAAATAATAGATGCAACACTCGAATAATTATTCATTTTTCCATTCCTATGGGAATATGTGCTACTTAATGTGAGTCGCACTTCTTATTGAAAATTACTTACTTTAATGCAATTTAGACCACATTCTATGTGTATGTATTGAAATGTATTGAGAAAACGGTGCCAAATTTATCATTAAAAATTTTAAGTAAATTCGTTTTTCTGTTCTTTTCTGGTTTTTTTTTATATTTTGAATTAAAATTTGTCTATGCCCAAACAGAACAACGACATCTTAAAGACGTCTTTAGGATGTCTAATTGAGTTTTGTGAGACGTCTTAAAGGCGTCTGTATAGGTCTTGAAGACGTCTGTTGTTGCAAATGAAGACTTCTTGAAGACGTCTTGAAGAGATGTCTTAAAGACGTCTTGAAGACATGTCTTAAATACGTCTTGAACAGATGTCTTAAAGACGTCTTAAAGAGACATCTTAAAGGGATGTCTTCTTGAAAAACGTTTTCAAGGGTGTTAGGAATATTTGATGAGAAATTCCCTAGTACGAATGTAAAATAAAATAACATGTTTTTATTTTATTTTTTTTTTATATTTTGCTTATCAAATACAGGCTATTTTGTTAGCAGATAATTACGTTGAAAATTTACCATAACACCACAATAACAAGAGTTTTTTAGTAACACCCAAGCAAATCAAGTGCATATAGTCTAACGGAAAATATTTGATCATGTCAAGTTTGGGAGTTTTTTTAAAATTGGCTCCCCAGTATGATGGCTTTCATCAGTTTTTTGTCGGAAGTCACAATCTGTCCTTATACGTAGGTTATGTATGTCAGGAAAATACACTCTTTCAGAGTAATTTCCTTTAGCATTACATTTTGAACAGGAAGAATAGTGAGAATGACCTTTAATATATTTTACATACGATTTTGCTGGAGCCTCACAAATAATTGCTTTGATATATACTGCAAAATGTTGATTTTGATACAAAAAACCTTTATTGATAACTTCAATTGACCTGACTAGATGAACTTTTAGCAAATGGCAATCCGTCAATATTTATAAGAAGACCTAATGAATTATTCAAGGTGTTAATTGATTTTTGACCTAAACTGTTAAAAATACTGTTGATGCACTTATTTAGCCCAAAATGTTAATAGTGTCCGGGCATCACTAATTTTAGTTCAACTGACCTGTTTGAAGCAAGGTTCTTGCACCCAAAGGCAACTCTTAACCAATAGGTTGTACTAGTTTTAATAAGACATTTAAAGCAGTATGGGCAATGTTGTGCTTCATTTCCCATCCCGCCAACTTTGTTTCAAATGAGTTATTACTACTACTACTGGTAGAACTATCATAAGTAGGATAACCTTCAAATTAATTGTCGTCTGCTATGGAATCAGTATCCGAAGTATGGCATAAAAACTCACTATTGTTTTGACATTAGGATTTATTGATTGGTTCACTTGTCGCACTTGCAAACACAATAAAGGCATTAGAATCTTACACAATCAGGTCACAATGTGTGCTAGATTGTGTAAAAGAACTTACAACCCTGGCCGG